CTGTTAGAAATCGGGAGAAAGGAACTTTTCGTGCATTTGCCAAAGTGAGGTTGTGTCGTCCCCACATAGGTAGTTGTATAGCACAGGCCCGTAGAAGTACCAACGTAAATTTTCATTTCTCTACAAGCTTTAGTTCTCGAGACATATCGAATATAGCTTTCCCTAGTTAGGTGGTCCAAGCTAAAATTCAAATTTCTCGAGAATTAAAGCTTGTAGAGAGCTGAGAATTTAAGTCTGTACTTCTACGGGCCTGTGGTATACAACTACCTATGTGGGGACGGCACAACCCACTTTGGCAAATGCACGAAAAGTTCCTTTCTCCCGATTTCTAACAGAGGAAAAATGCCGCAAAGGCGTATAAGATGTCTTGTATAGACAGTATTTATTTGAGCAAGTAAAAATTTTTGTAGGATTTTTTTAAAGGGAGTTACGGTTTTTCTCGATTTTTCGGGCTGCTGAGTCTTTTTAGTTTTTGGCTTCTGTCGCTAAAGCAAGATTGCCATTTTGTAGAGCTTGCTTTGCTCTATCGAATGTTACTTTGCAACCTATTTAGAAATGGGCAGTTTATGATTTATTGCGGTTGGAATTCAAAACGGGCATTAATTTCCGGACAACCTAATACCTTCATTAAACTTTTTGCTTGCGCCGCTTGCTCCTTCTATGGAGTGACTCAAGAACCAGTAAAACCTAAAAAAATTTCATGGAATCCGACAGAACTTTACGCAGCAATCCAGTAATTCTTTTGAAGCATCCACAAATACAAATTTTTGAACATTCTGCTGAAAATTGAGATATTGACATTGCAGAACAAAATGTTTACAGAAGACGCAATGACAATACCATTATTTAAATCATTTTGAAGAATGAAATAAACAAATTTACATTGCGAAAGGTGATTGTTTCTCTTGATAATGTTATACAGCTACTCCAACACGGGCGTTCTGTTTCAACAAATTCTACTGGCGCACTTTTTGCGATCTTTCTAACTACAAACACTGCTTTCTATCCAAGCATCTGACTTCGCATTGAGTAAATGATCCGCTAAGCAAACATGGCTCATAACGTTCAGAAACCCGCTCTGACTATCGAAAGACTTTTGGAGCTTTCACTCGTTCTAAGTAAGCGTAAACATTCAATCATGAGAATGAGGCAATCCTTGGACGGAACGGTTTTGCATAGTAAATCAACTCGGTTGTTTATTGTGATTTCTAGAAGCCTTATTAAGTCGATGTTTACTACGCTGCTACCTCGTTGCGCATATTTATATGCTTTTTGCAGTCTAACTTATTTGATGAACGCTTCTAGACTAACTGCTACCTTAGACCTGCTATTCAATGATGAGTTCAAGGTTTGTTTTATGAGTAGTCCCGTAGACTTCAGCGGCAGTCATATAGACCTTAAAAGGTTTTGCGCAATGCAGCTGACAATCAAGAGATTATTAGGTTGCAGCTCAAGAAATAAACAAAGTAACAGTATATTATGTAAGGCAAAACATGAAGTAAACAAAAGCTAGCTCAACTCCTTGCAGATTAACATAAATAAATTCCGTGATAATGAGGTAAAAAAAGCGCTAAAGCACAGTCCTTCTTTTTCAGTTGGACAGTTAAACAGTTGCTATCACATATTGGTTTACATTTACTACCTAGAAAGCAAGATTCTTGTTTTCTCCGAATTGGTAACTCAAAAATTTCTTTAAATTCTTTTCATCCTCTAATTCCAAGGAATCAAGAGGCCCTCTATCAATTACTTTTGCTAGATTTTGGAATATAATCCCTGCTAATCTCCAGTCTTTATATTCACAATTTTAAAAACAAGTTTGATTTTTTCAGATATTTGTTAGCCAAAAGTCGATTATATACTATACTTTATTTGAGTGTAAATTTTATTACCTAAGCTATCCCCATTTTCCTTTGTATCTTCTGCCTCTCTGTATTCGGGTAAACAAACAACTTCTTGGATTAGGGAGCTTCTCAGATTACTTGCGCTTACAACTTGACTATTGTGAAATGAACATAGCCTGAGACAGGCTAACCAAATATTTTCTAACTGGAAATTCAATCGACTCTTACATCAAAAAATTTTTTTTTGGAATTCTTACATTTTTGCGCTTGAAACTCTGTAATAGTGCGCATGCTGGCAGCTACATACCGAAAAAAAATTTAGCAATCCAATTTAATCCATTTTCATCAGATCTCTGGGATATGCTTGATTAGTCAAATAAACATAATATTGTACATATAAATGTAAGGCCATCAACGTTTGCCCACCATCTAGTGCATAATTAGATTGACTCGCATGTATTCAACTGTCACCGTTCATTTCATTATTAGGCATAGCCGCGAGATGGAGATTTACTACCGGCTGTAAAATTTATATCAGAAAAAATCTGCAAATTTCTAGAAATAGTTTGCCATATTAATTATACTGTTAGCTCCACTACGGATTCGTCTTCGTTATATGTCATCGCACCGCCTGTAACTTATAGTGCAATTAGGCGGTCATTTACCTAAAATGTTGGTTAAGGCTTGGGCGCAGGTGTTTCATAGATGTCAGAAACGAACTCGAGAGAGGCTTCACCGACTAGAAGAAAAAGCGTGAGTTGAGCGGAGTGAAACCCATCATTGAAAGGATTCTGGTCTGGGAGTTTTTAGAATGCAAACTTGGGGCTAGTGTCCTTTTTTAGAGGCGTTTTTCTATTTAGTATTACTCAGAACCCAGTATTTATGTTCTCTATCTAATTTTTGGTTTCATTTAGATATTCCATAATTTGCATGCTCTCAGTTGCTGTAGGTCCTAGCGGGCAGATTCCAAAGAAATGTTGAGTGATCATTTCATTGGTATCAGTCCTTTATCGTTCAAGCAAATATTAACAGCTTCAACAAAAAAGAGTTTTTTCGGGCTTGAAGTGTTTGAAAAACATTTTATGATTTATTCGCTTTATATATAGGGTGTCCCAAAAAAATGTGCACACTGTTTGATTGTAAATAACTCTTTTGTGGTGAAGTGTTTTGAGAAGCTTCAGGTACCATTTTGTAGAGCGAGGTTCAACTTAGATTTACAGTGTAGAGCGAATAGCCGATCGCTTATTCTTACTGTAAGAGTACGGTAGAAACTTCGAACATATGATGTCACTGTGAAAGAAAAACGGCCGTTTCATTTTCAATAAAATGTGGAAATTTGTGTAATAGGGTTTTTATGGACCCTGAGTTCAATACCCAACTCTTTACGAGGTTGAGAAGCTTTCTAAACAGTGTAGCCGCACTTTTCAGGAACACTTAAAAAACGTCTGCTACTGCTTACCCCGCATAATTTTTTAATGAAGCATTACGAAGAGTTGCGAACTTCACATTTAGAATCAGCAACTCTTTTTGGAACAAAATATGGTCTTTCATGGCTCAAAACCCTCTTCAAAGTTTTTGCCGTAATCCTGCAGTAAGAATGAGAGATTGGCGATCCGCTCTAACTGCAAATCTAAGCTGAACCTCGCTCTACAAAATGGTACCTAAAGCTTCTCAAAACACTTCACCACAAAAGTTTATTTACAATCAAACAGTGTGCACATTTCTTTGGGACACCCTGTATACAGTGTGTCCCAAAAAAATGTTAACACTGTTTGATCGTTAATAACTGCCTTGCTTTCATGTCTTTCGCCGAGCCCTAGGTGCCATTCTGTAGAGGGAGGTTCAACTTAGATCTGCAGCATGAAGCGAATCATCAATCTCTCTTCATTACTGTAGGATTACGGTAGGAACTTTGCCATGATTTTAGGCCATTGGAGGCCCTATTCTGCTTCGGAACAAAACCAAACAAGCCAGAAACTCTTATACTGTGGCAATGAAAGCCGCTGATTTCGAATATGAAATTTCCACTTTACGGTGATGCTTCTTTCCTAGGTTTCCCTAGGTAAACCGTAATAATTGAATTCCCAGCTTCTGTCAGAAATATGAATACACTGTCAAAAAAGCTAAAAACACTCATAAAAAGTTGTGTAGTGTAATCAGCGTGAACGAAAACCCTAGTACACGATTTTTCAGGTTTTTTGAAAAAAATTTTGTCAGATGGCTTTTCTCACAGTGGTTCCATATGCTGAAAGTTCTTACCGTAATCCTACAGTAACGAAGAGCGATCGGTGATTCGCTCCATACTGTAAATCTAATTTGAACCTTGCTCTACAGAATGGTGTCTCAAACTCGGCGAAAAACATGAAAGCAAGGAAGTTATTAACAATCAAAGAGTGTTAACATTTTGTTGGGACACCCTGTATGTGCCGGGTACTAGGTCGCCATGAGGTTCCACCCCGGGGACACTCAACATAAAGTGTGAGGGACAGAAGTAGGCACTTGTTGCAGATGTTCGCCCGGAACCTCTCCTTTCGGCGACCCAATGTCCTCTACTCTAAGTACCATAACAAGAAAGTATTTTGACACTAAGTACAGTAAAAGTTTCGTCGCATCTTATATTATGACTGACATGAGAGTTCCTCATTCTCAACTCTCAACAAATGCTCCTCATTTGAGGAGGAGGGGTGAGAAGGAACAGGCCCTTCGCAATAAAATTTTAGATGCACTTCACTCAATTTTGAATTTATTCGCCCAGAATCCAATTTAAGCTACATGAGGAGATCTAATAATGACCACAATGACATGTGGAATATTATTCAAACACCCCAATTTTTTTAAATTAGGAGTATACTAGTGCGTTAGACTTGCCTTTCAGAGGAGGCGGGAAGGACAATTTAAAAAAAGTAGAAACACACTAAAGTTGAGCTTTACGTTTGAATTGTAAGGTTTGTAACTTTCACAGTAATGATTAGACTGCTATGACTATCTAATCAACTAATATGGGCTGCAGCTGCTTGGAATAACTTATGCGACTTTTGACCCAGCTTTCACAATTTCTTCATACATGCAATTCGCAATCATGTGTTTCGTTCAATTTTCAATAGAATTCCTAAGTTGCCTTAATTTTTGTTGTTTTTTTTCTCACACTGGAAATTTCAGAGTGGTGTCTGGCGCATGTCTTCACGGCGCCAATCAGTGACTGCTAGCCTATCACGGCAAGCACGGTGAGTTACTCGTTTATCTTGGATGTTGCTATTGAAACTAGGGTATGATCAGTATGAAATGACAAGGTAGAACACTGTTATTCACTTTGATGATGACTCAGCTTGAGGAGCACTATCAACTACTGCATTAGGTTGGTGCGAAACTGTCGTTCTGTTTTCAAAAAATCGTAATTTCTTGCTATCTAAATAGATTTGCTTCGCTTTAATTGTACCAGGAAGAAGAAATCCTTTAATTTCTAGTACTATTTTAGAAAGTTTTTTCCGAACACTGGCAGCACAGACAAAATTGGATAAATATCATCCAAGCTCCAATCATTTTAGGTTAGGTCACCAAAAATCTGAAACGTTGCAGAACTATCTTGGCAGTCAATGTGAAACAGAAGTTCGAAAAGGAAGTCTTTGAAGGCGAAAGATTCATTCTTTCTAATAAGAATTCACAAATTTTTGCAAATGAAACGACAGAACTTTCGGACCTAGCTAATACAACAGTCCCTAATTCAGGTGGAAAAGACGGCCTCCGACGTATTAATCTTGACGAAACCGTCGGGAATCCATAACTTTGTTCGGAGAGTAAATTTCACAAGGATTCGAAAAACCATCAAATGTTCAGAATTTACGTTCATTTGAAGGGTTCTTGCATCGCCGAGACTGCCTGTCGGGGTAATTCAGTGAAAACCCTTCAAATGAAAGTAGATTCTGAACATTTGATGGTTTTTCGAATTACTGTGGAATTTCCTTTCCAAATATCAAAATCCGATCATAAAAAAATCATTTTGAACAAAGTTATGGATTCCAGACGGTTTCGTTAAGATCAATACGTCGGGGACCGTGTTTTCCACCCGAATTTAGGGGCTCAGTTGTACTTATGGAGGATTTTGCTAAATTGCCTTTTTCCGAAAATTACATAGTAGAAATGTAACTCATTGTTTTACGTTCAAAACTTGTGTAATAACAAAGCTGCTGAATGCTTGAGACTAACTTTTGAATATTTCAAACGTCATTGCGATAGCACCTTATAATAAGCGTCATTGGAGCTTATCAAAACGTGCATTATGCTGGATCAAGGGCTTTTCTGCTACATAAAGGAACAAGATTATCTGTTGACGTCCCTCTTCTTCCCCCCTCCCCCCTCCCCCCCTTCAGACCTTCTCACTTTAGAGCGATCAAAAATTTGCTTAACACCCATACCTTATGAATTGGAACACGATATGTTTTGAATGAGCGAGTATAGAAATAGAGACTGTCCGCACAAAGTATACACAAGAATTTAGGCAGATAAAAACAAGCTAAGATGAAAGAATATTGTGTAGACATGCACTGACGACATAATGCCATGGGTACAACGAATTCTTTCTTGTTCAAAGATAGAAATATAAATGCTCTAGGCTGTAATTCACATCACATTCACATGCGCAAAATGGCCTGCCATTATACAGCGAATGCTCTTATGTGGCCACAAAACACACCAATATATGTTTTTAATCTTAATGACTTTACATGAAAGCATATGACCAGCATGGCTGCAATTGTCCATTGACAGCATAGTAATATCGTAGCTATATCTACGTCATCAATTTTACATTTGCTTGCTTTTCAAGTAATGCAAATAAGCTTCATCATAAGTGCCTAATCTCCCCCACTACAGCGATCAGTTTGAAACAATAATGCAAGGGTTGATAATCATCACAGCACTATCACATCAAAATCAGCTCGGTCTCCAACTTTTCTATTCTCTAGATTAGAGAAAATTATATTTGAATTCGAATAGTCTGATAGCTGAAAATGAAACCTTCAGGCGTTTGTCCGCTGCTCTAGCCCCTGGGCTTACGAAAATCGACCCGGTCAACATCTTACAAAAGGTCGAAGGGGTCGAAATAAAGCTGAGTGACAAGACGCAGGTATCTAAGTTTATCTTTAGGCTCTTTATCTGCTACAGAAAACCTGGAAAAATAATCTCTAACAGAGATGAACGGGATGCTTTGAAATTTGATACTATGAAAAGTCAATTGTAGGATAAGATTTAGAGCGGTATCGAAGACATGGATCTTAGTTAGAGATCAAAAATGATATAAAGATAATCACTAACACTTCACATGTGCAATCACGAAATGACTGAGGGCCAAAAGACGATGCCCAAAACAGGAATCGAACCTGTGTCGCCACGGCCACAACGTGGAGTACTAACCACTATACTACTTGGGCCAATATCTAGCCACTCCAAATATGTTGAATAGAAGTACATCCAGCAGTGTTTGTAAAAAAAGATATCAGTACAATTTTTATTGTGAAATATTCACGCATAGAGAGCATTTATACTAAGATTTCTTTGTCATTTTATTGATGGAGCTATTCACGAGAGTCCCGTTAATCTATAGAAGAATTTTTGCTTGACCGCCTATCCTATGGTACAGATTAGCTGTCAATTCATCTTTTTTGCCAAATTATCTCCTAATCCCTACCGTTTCGCGATTGCCATTCGATGGAAGGAATCGAAGGTGAATGTAAACCCCAAGTTTGTCTTCCTTGACACAGCTTTTCATTCGGTACTTTATAAAAGCAAAACAAGAGGCCTATACCCTCTTGCCCTAGACCTCACTGCGACCTATTCGTTTATTTTAAATCAATGATCGTAGTGCATGTTGGCAGAGAAGATCATTCACTGACTGTTAGATTGATGCAGAATTAATGCATGTCCCTTATTTTAAAGCTTAGGGAAGATGTAGAAATGTATGAGGTATATCTTTTGATAAAGCAAAGCAAACGTGCAAGGTAGTATCCAAAAAATAGCAAAGGGTTCGATTTATGAGAAATCTGGGGAAATTCCAGAGAATTTTAGATACCCAAATATCAGGTTTTCGGTTAAAAAATCCTGCAAATGCAACTTGATTAAGCTTTACTATAAACTTCAGAGTTTCATATGTACAATTGCTGTATTTTTTTTGTGGTTTGAAAAAATAATAATAGGTAAAAATTCTAAAGTCTCTCCTTTCTTGGGGTTTTATGTTAAATTTAGTATTTCTCAATAACTAGCGCTCGCAGGAGGATGAAAATTTGTTACATTTTGGAGGTCCGTCGTAAGGAATTACTGTCGCGTCAATTCAGCATCGCTTTTGCCAAAGCATGCCAGCTTTTATTTCAACTTTTAGCCGCGGAAAACATACGGCAAGTTCACGCATAACTAATGCGACAACTGACTTTAACGAGCAAGTTGGAACTTTGTAGGATTTTCTAAAAGAGATCTGATTTTTGGGCATTTGTATTTCAATCGAATGATATGTTTCAACCGTACTCCTTCTCTACGACTCCAGGATAGAGAACTAATAGCATGAATGCTGTCAACCTAGTCTCAAATTACTCGCATAAAGAACAACAATTGGCCAAATAATCATATTTTTGAGAATTGCACGCTACACTGACATAACTACTTCAGTGTATAATGGTAAATGAAACTTATGATTATTTTCCTTCAGTTACAAAGGGTTGTGAATCAGTACATACTGCGCAACGACGTGAATTTTGAGCCGGTCGAGTTCAACATACTAGATCCTGGAGGCTACCCTATAATGCAGGGTGAGTCATTCTACAAGATATTAAAAAAGAGCACATTCAATTTTTTCAGCTTAGTATATAGAAATAATAGAGTTTCTTATAGGAATGAAACAATACTTTCAGCTAGTCTCTATCCCGAAGGATTCGTAGTCACCGAGTCAAAACGCAAAATTTGCGAAGTCTCAGTGGTTGGTGATGACGATTCTCCTACCTGTATAGCTAAGATAAAACATCCGGTGACAAGTAAGGAATTTTGCTGTTTAAACCTTTACTAACAGTTTCTCTTTTGTAGCCTATCCTAGCTTGAGAGATTATTTCGCAATACTAGATCTGACAATAACTTTGTATGCATCGAAAGCATAGCACATTTAAAAAATCCAGTAATTCTTATTTTTCATTCTCCTTTCCGATAATGCAAGTATTCTTTTCGATTTACTCAATTACCATGCAGGTATGAGTGTTTATGAGTTACGGGACATGGGTGGTACAATATGTGTTACGTCGAATACGGATGAAGTGCATGGGTAAGATTATCACTGAATCCTATTCATTTTCCTGCTCAAGAATTTGCCTTCGTAACACTCTCTTTGCATTACAGTACCACTATCGTATCAAGTGCTGAAGGATGGATGCGGTTACTGTTCGCATGTGGATGTGCCTTTTCCAGAGACAAATGGTCTCTGGTCACAAAAGATGTCACACGAGCAATCATAATTCCAGTGTCATCGTGTTTTCGCGAGAACTATGTGAAAGTAAGTGTTTTTAGATCTACCTAAACCGAACTTATATGTTAAATGTAGGAGTTCGAACATGATAGATGATTGGAGAGTTCAAAATGTATAATAGATACATGTGAAGCTTTACGTAGTTAGATAGAAAATTGCTAAGGTTAATTGCTCGATTTTGCTAACTGGTACCAAGACTAAGAAACTGCAGTTGAAATGACGAGGTCATTCACTATCTGTGACAAGGCCCCTGATTAACATATGGCACATATGTTGTATGCTTACGTATGAAGAAGATTCAATTGTTTTTTAATTCATTCATGAGCAATGAGTGCTAAAAATAGAGCCCAAAGTCCTCATCTTCTTTATATCGCCGACAAATTCGAAGAGCTCCCAAGCATGAGAAAAGGGGCGGTCTTGTCAAAACTCTCTTTGAGTGGCTATTGGTTCATCGACCCACTAACCCCGCCTACTTCAATCCTTTGTTTCGCACATTTGTGGAGAATTTTAGTGGCTGTTAGGTAACAGACCAAGGAAGTACAAAATAAAATTTAAGTCAAAAACTTGCCGAAATAGAGAAATTCAACAAGTACATTATTTCACTGGAAAAGATAAAATCTATTTATGTAAAAAACCTTAGATAGATTATATAGCGTGAATCCGTAAAATAGTCAGGATAATCAGCTTTGTAACTTTTGCAAAAATTATTAATGACTCTAGTAGAGAACGAATAAAAGGCTACAGTAATCCATGAAATTTACAGTTATTCGAAACCTAAATGCCCGCCCCGTGTCTTAAACACCAGCATGAGCAGCTGTTGCCGCGGGAGACTGTAGGCGTTCACTTTCGTTAAAGAATTCTCGTCAGCTTTTGTGTTATATTCAACAATAAAAAGCATGTTTCAACGAAAGTGACTTCAAAAGGCTACAAATTGTCTTCAAAACTATTAGGTCGTTCCGAAAGTAATGTCGCTTTTTTCGAATGAACGCCACATTTCATGGAATCAAGATTTTCAAGAAATCTTAGAAGCATTCGATGCGGCATTTCATCCTCTTTCTAATGGTTGTAATGTCACTGCATAATTCTCATTGAGCTTTCGAAAAATTAACAAAATTTGCAACTCATGCTTTTTGCCATGGTCAAGTTCGGCAAATTTTCAAAATTTTTGTACCTATTCTCCGAAGAAGTACAAGCGGCATATAGGTAGAGCAAACCCTATAGGATACATCGTAATTTTTTCTTTTCCTTAGCTTGCTTCTTAGAGTTTTTGGAATCAGTTTTAAAATGCCATCAAATTCCATATTTGGTCATCTCAAATCTCACAGACCAACAACGGCAAGCAACTCGGGTGTCATTCGACGCAGCTTTTTCTCCTCTTTTTACCAGTTGTTTTTGGTTTCCGATTCATCAAGTTTTCCGAGATAAAATCATCATAATTCAGGTTTTCCAGGGCGCCTCCGGCTGTACCCGGAATTTTCGAAAGTTGCTAATCTGAGGCGGTAAACGCTCATTTGCTTTGTAAAGTTAGTGTAAAACCATAATCCATTTTTTGTAAGTTTCAAAATCCGACGATTTCTTGGTGTTTGATGCATTTGTGTCTGAGACGAGCCTGCTAAAATTCGGTGCTTCCATCAAAAAATTTATACAGAAATTATGACGAGCTCTGAAAAGTAGAAAAAAGTTGTGCTGTTTCCTGTAGGGTTTGCTCCATCCATCCATTACTTGGACTACTTCTGAGGTTTGTTATAAAATTTTAGAAAAATTGTGAAACTTGGCCATCTCAAAAAGCATAGGTTGCAGATTTTGGTTATTTTCTAAAAGCTCATTGATTGTATTGCAACATCTTTATAACCTTTAGAAAGAGAATGAAACGCTGCATCAAATGCTACCAGAATCTCTTACATATCTTTATTCCACGAAATGTGGCGTACGTTTGAAAAAAGCGACATTACTTTCGGAACGACCTAATATAAAACGCGTGTTCGCCATAAGGAGTGACATTTTGCTAAGCTTAGTACAGCATCTGTATTCATTTATTTATGCGAGCGGACTTATTGGATGTTTTTTTTGTTGTATCCATCGATGGTTACGTTCTCAGTACTTCTTTAGTTATGGCACCCGCAGCTTTCTGCGTAGTAATTAAATGAATAGATAAATAAATAAATAAGCATGTCCGAATGAGGTGGCGGTGACAAGCCTACAACGCTTTTTCGAGCGTTGGCGTTCGCGTTGGTGTTCAAAGCTAAGCGCGAGCAATTAAATTTCACATCGCTTATATATAGCACGGACTATGAGAAGCTAAAGAAGTAAACCATCACTTGGAAACAGATTGACTGCGCTCAAAATTCCAGATTGAATGGTCGACAAGCAGCGAAAACGAGCTTCGATTGATAGCCGTTTCGTATGGACTCGCTCTGATGGTCCGCGATGCATTCCCTTCACTCATGCATGTACTCAAGGAATTCCGCAATCGACGTGGATGACTTCACGAACATCCTTCACTACTTCGTACGTAGTTGCGACGCAAACGCACCCACATCTTTATCTTAGCACCGGAGGTAGCGTAGCCACTCTTGAAGAGTAACTTTTCTTCAATGAAGAAAAGCCCGACATTATATTCTGGGGCTTCTGCTTTTTTTCTATTGAAATGGTTACACCGTCAAGATTAAAATCAGCTGCGATATTTTTTAGCGCCCTGCCATCTGCTCTTAGTGGAAAATATCTTATTGATAGTACATATGATTCAGCTGCATATCCTGTCCCCCCTTTTATGCATAGTGATGTTCCAAAAAATGTACACACTTTTTGTTCATAACATTAACCGTAATCAAAGTTGTTAATAACTGCTAACCTTTGATTCAACTGGCTTGGCGTCCGGAAGGCGGCGCTTTACGACCTAATTGAGGCCGTTCGCGCTCGCGACGTAGTCTGCGTCTCTCCCGCGCGTATGCTTTCTGACCACTACCTAGCTTTAACTAGGTCACGAAGCCCCGCCTTCCAGCCGTCAAGCCAGTTGAATCAAAGGGTAACTAACGGCACAATAGTAGAGTGAAATGGTATGAAAGGGTGTAGGTTGAGTAGATGATGCTTTCCTCAAAATCAATACATCGGTTCCTGCTACAGAATATTTTCTTGGTGAATTGACGTAATCATTTTTTCCCTTGCTCTCTCCATCATTATCCTACATTTCTAGCTTCATAGCTGTACTGATTAGCTCGTTAGTTAGCTGAAACTGCATAATCACATTGTAACCTACGATCATACTATATCAATCTGTATTGCTAATCATCCTCCACATATCATTATAGAGCTGGACATTGACTTTTGCTTGATCTTGGTAATCATGGGCTGCTTGTACTCTTATATATGTTAGAAAGCTGTCAAACGTTGTGATGATACAGTAATCCTACAGTAATCAATGATGTGTTTGCTCACTTAGGGCTATGAGTACTCTCCATCATTTTGATTGCGTTTCAACAAACCTAAGATTAGTGTGCACATTTTATGGAACATTTTCTGAAAATGAGTTTTTTTTTTCGAAAAATTCAAGACCGAATGGGGTTTTCCAGTGGGAATAGTAACAATACAAGCCTAGTACTTAACTGTTTTCACCTCGCTATGAATTACCGTGGTTTTTCTACTCCAGCACAGTAACTTTTCACTCTCGCATTTTCCTATTTTGTCAATTCTAACTCTATTTTTCTTTTCTATATCCCATATTGGAGCGTTGTAAATTCATAATTGCACAAACTTGCCAAACGTATCAATAATGCATATTCTTTTACTGTATATTTCTATTCCTTGTAATCAATGTGAAGATAAGATTGTATTGTATGAAGTAGATGAACGATTGAATCTTCACCCACCTGCTGAAGAAATTGGGTAATTGACGACTTCATTGATGTCGATGATGAAGTGAAGATACTGAAATGTTTTTGGTAATGACAACGCAGTCCGCATGGTTTTTACTTAACTTTCACAGCAAGTATGAAAATACGAGAGAGCCAGACAAGCTACAATACCGCTTGTAATTTTGGAAAAAACAACGCGCAATCGCACGATTCACGTGAAATCACCGTAGCGTGGCCATATCTCGCTTCAGAGTGGATGAAATCTTAATCCAAGAGCACCTTTCGACTTAGCTCGGTGCAGCGCACCTTCTGATATATGGAGATGCCCGCTTGGACACAGTAGGAAATTCTACGAAACGTTTTGAATTTTTGCTTACGGTTGGTTACTCAGTGTGTTTATTCATTGCACTGACTGGGCAACCCAAAAATCTAAATTCGTGGAACCTGGCTCCTACTGCGTCCAAACATGCACCTCTATATAAGAAAATGCGCTGCGCCGAGCTCAGTCGAATGGTTCTCTTAGATTAAGAATTTAGCCACTCTGAAGGGAGATATGGCCATGCTACAGTAATTTCGCATGAATCGGGGGACTGTGCGTCGTTCAATCAAAAATTACGAGCGGTATTGTATGTCACTGAAAGGCAAATAGTGCATGCAAAAGACGAAATTTTTGATCAAGAAATAGTAAGTTCAATCTGCACATACTGAGGATGAGACCTTGTAGCAAGAAGAAATTATCTCCATCATTTTAAATTTGCCAAATCAAGAAAGCAGTCCGTCACGAGAAAGAAACAAAGAATCATGCTTTTGAAAATTTTAGCTGATTTCACATTTTTTCAAGAGAAACACGAAGGTAGACTAGGCATAGCTAAGCGAGATATGAGAAGCGTTCTGATTATCACACAAAGCCCTCATTGATAGAATTTACATTACAAATGAAAAGTGGGCTAAAGCATGTATCAATATAGTTCTCTGAGCGAATGTCAAACAAAATTGCGCAAGCGAGATATGAATGTATGTACATTTCATAGCACTTACGAAAGCAATTATTTACTTTCTGCACAAACTTGAAAAAGCAACGTGTATCAGTCAAAGCACTTAAATCGCTGTGTCCAGCTAAGAATGTACTTCACATTACGTGCGCAAGAAATGAGTGAATTTGCAGTTTTCAGTGAAGGCATGGATGACTTGTACAGACCCTCATACTCACTTCATATTGTTGAGTTTTTCAAACGCAGTTATCAGCTTTCTTACCTACAGATTTTATAGCAAACACAACCTTGACTTCTTTTTGGAAAAAATGTGGTAGCTCTATTCTCAGTGGTCGCGACTTATAGTGCAGACCTACTTCATCAACCAAGATTAAGGAAGGAACTCCGGTGGAAGAAACCGTTGCTGGGCTCTCGGATGACCCTTGAACGGAAGTAAAGAGCGAAAGATTTAGCACAATAGAAACAAATCCGTTGCGTCCTTCATGGATTTTGGTGACAGCATGAAGTGCTTGTGTCATCATAGTGTTTTCATCGTGTTAAATAGCTGAGAAAGAGAAAGATGAAGACGTAAAAGAGTACAAGTAGGACAGTGATATGAAGGCATGAAAAGATAAAGAATTATGAGCGAGTACACGTTGTAAAAAGTCCAGCTTGTATATAAATAGCAATGTTTGAAAGTTAATTTTTCTAAGCAAAGATCATGTTAAATGCGGTTTCCCATAAGTTTGGAACATTCGCTGCTGACGAAATTCAGATGTTTGGGCTAAGTAGCTTGTAAGAGAAACCAGCAGGAAATCAAAAACACCAAGCTAAACATGGAAAATATATGCAGCTTTCTAATGGGAAATTGTGCCCGCGCAAAATGAAACGGATACAGCTCAGATATAGAAAACTTTTTACTTGATGAAATTGGATAAAGTTACATCGTGTATAGCTTGCCTTCACTATTTTGGCGAGACGAGCATCGGAAATTCGCTAAAACTTTACGCATTTCTTGGAAGAGAGTATATGATAATCTTCATGTATTGGATCATTATATTGTACAAACAAGAGATGTGTGGAAGACATTGCTTTTTATCTGAAAAGTTTCAGCACAGCACTGGTATGTGGGAGAGGTCACTTCGCTCATATTGGGTTGTTTAAAAAGTTCCACCCGCTTCTGTATGTCTTTATAGCCTTGCTGTTATGAACTAAAAACTGTCTTTCTAAGATATGATTATGATATAAAAAACCTCTTTCTTTCTAGTTTTTTATGCGTGTCTTTTTTATGGAGCTTTGTTCAATCTGCGCATTCTTACATCAAATAGACGGCAGAGCATATGTAGAATTTCCTTCCCTTTGTTCTAACGCAAAAAAAACGAAACTACTTTTTACAGTGTATTATTTGACTGGGGGCTTGTGCAACATAGTAAATCGGGAGCGAATCACAGACTGTTTGAACTTTCTAACACACAAAACTGTGAGTGCAATGGGATTGGGAGGCTTTTGCTATATGCACCAACAGAGGACCTAGTATATAACAATAATTGAAAGAAATTTCTTCGATTGTTAGCAGTGATAAAAAATGAAAAATCCCAAGAAGTGCATTCATTTGCCAGTTCAATGAAAGCGATGTAGAGAAAAATTTTGAATTAATCGCAGAATTTTAGAGAAAAAGTTTTGTCAGTACCGCAATTTGCATTGCTGCTCACCAGACCATTTTTAGATAACATTTAAAGCTAACCTACAGCAGTTCGAATCGAGTTATGTTTCCAGGAAGTAGAATTTTTTATTGTATTTTATTTCACTTTATATATACGCTCATGGTGACCACAATAAAAAAAGAAATCGAAAAGAATGTTTAGCAACACAAGAGACCAGCCAATTCTCGGGTCTAGGAAGAAGTAGAAATACGCAAATAAAGCACAACACATACATTGTAGGCCCAAACCCATAACAACATGGACATTCGATTGTAAAGGCCAGAAATGCCGAAAGAAAAAGTGCTTTCCAGAATAGTCTCTAGAACCTTCTTCTGAACTCTATGATGACCATCTTTTGGTTGTCAGCGAAGGTAAAAGCTAGCTGATTTGATCCCAAAGATTACCTGTTTTAGAGGAGAGCAGTATTCGCATTCGAGGTGTAGAGTAAACTTCGGTAATGATTGACAATCTCCGGGAAAAACGTAGTGGCTGCGATAATTTTTGCTATGCATAGAACTGCAAATGATGTTAGATTGTAGCATAGTTCAGTGCACTTGCAATGATCAATTATGAAAAAGTTGTGGAGAACTGGAGATGAGGTTGTCATCAAGTTTTATAGAACTTCTACAACAGCCCAATAAATAGTTCTCAGCAAATAACGAGCAAATTAAGCTTAAATCAACGCAAGGAAGTCTGTTATCTAGCAATGAGCGATATTAGTCATATGATGCTATGTAAAAGTGTAGTTATATGACACGTGATATATGTATACATGGCACAATATCTGGAATCAGGTTAGCTGATTCGCTAAATGTAAAAGGACATTTTTTTCAAAAAAAAATCCATTGAACGTCAACGCATGCAGTCATATTTATATGCTTCACATCAATGTTCAAAAAAAGTTACTATGGCCAAACCGCAAAACTCAACTGAATGTTGGTTGGTTCATGTGCAAAAGGTTTGCCCATCTCACATTTCTATAGAAAGGTCTTAGCACATGTGCGCTACATTTTTTCCCGAATGTCATGCTGTTATTACAATTTAATGCACATTTGCCATTAGAATCTAATGTTTATAGTGTAATCATAAGTTCGATAATCAGAACACGGAAAACGAGAAAATGATGGTTGTTTGAGCTCAGTCCTCTGTAAAGATCATTGTAAGAGACCTCTATCTTGATGTTCGCAATACTCTT